GGAAATGCTGTCTCTTAGAGAAAAGAAAAGTTTGAAGTCTCCTATGTAAATATTTTGTTGCAGGAAACAAATAGAAGAAATGGAAGAAAAGCAAAAGTCTGACAAGGCAGAACTTGTAAGAATGCAACAAGAAGTAGAGTCACAGCGCAAAGAAACAGAAATAGTGCAGCTGCAAATTCGAAAACAGGAAGAGAGTCTGAAACGGCGAAGTGTACACATTGAGAGCAGGTTAAAGGATTTGCTGGCTGAAAAAGAAAAATTTGAAGAAGAGAGGTTACGAGAGCAACAGGAGATAGAGCTTCAAAAAAAAAAGCAGCAGGAAGAAATTTTTGCTCGGGTCAAAGAAGAGTTGCAGCGACTACAAGAACTTAATCATAATGAAAAAGCAGAGAAAATGCAGATTTTCCGAGAACTAGAAAAACTTAAAAAAGAAAAAGATGAGCAATATATCAAGCTGGAATCAGAAAAAAAGAGACTTGAAGAACAAGAGAGGGAGCAAGTGATGTTGGTGGCTCATCTAGAAGAACAGCTTCGAGACAAACAGGTCATGATAGAGCTACTGAAGAGAGGAGATGTTCAGAGAGTTGAAGATGAGAAAAAAGGTCTTGAAGATATTAGAGAATCTCTTTTGAAAGTCAAGGAAGCCCGATCTGAAGGTGATGAAAACTGTGAAGAGTTAGAAACAGCACAGCATAATTTCATGGAGTTCAAAAGAAAGCAGCTAGAACAGTTGAATATTTTAGAGAAAGATTTAGTTCAACAAATGGATCACCTAGAAAAGGAAGTAGCACGTGAGAAAGGAGCTCTGGACCACTTGAAATGTGCACATGAAGAACATATAGATATCGTCAAGAAAGAGGATGAAAACTTTGTGGATGCTGTACTCAAGGCTGAAGAATTTGACAAGGTAAAGCCAGCAGAATATAGGCTCCAGTCTAAAGCACGCCAGCTGGAATACCTGAGGAATAATCATTTGCCAGCTCTGCTGGAAGAGAAGCAAAGAGCTTCTGAAGTCCTTGATAGAGGCTTGTTAGGTTTAGATAATACTCTCTATCAGATTGAGAAAGAAATAGAAGAAAAAGAAGAGCAGCTTGCCCAGTATAGAGCTAGCACAAACCAGTTGCAGCAGCTTCAAGAAACGTTTGAATTCACAGCCAACGTAGCTCGCCAGGAAGAAAAGGTTCGGAAGAAGGAAAAGGAAATCCTTGAATCAAGGGAAAAACAGCAGAGAGAGGCACTGGAACAAGCTGTTGCTAAGTTAGAAAGGAGGCACTCTGCTTTGCAACGTCGTTCCACGATAGACTTTGAAATTGAGGAGCAGAAACAGAAGCTTGCCACCTTGAACAACAGCTGCAGTGAACAGGCAGGTCTGCAGGCTAGTCTAGAAGCTGAGCAAAAAGCCCTGGAACAAGACAGGGAACGGTAAGTGTTACGGTAGCATTGAATTACTGCAACCTGTGCGCAAAGAGTAAATTTTCTTATACTTCAGAATTTGAGAGAGCAAATTGTTCTGTTTTCCAGTGTTCGAGTTTTCTGTTGAGCTTAAATTAATTTATCGGGAATTGAGACCGTGTATTGCTTTTTAAAGGATTCTTGTTCTCTAATTTATTTCTGTTCTGTTCAGATACTTATAGCAGCATAGTATTTCCATTAATCACTGCAGTATTTGAATTTTGTATTGCCTGTTCACAAAGCTCAGGAAACCTTATGCTCTGTCTTTTTGCAGCTATTTACACTTATAAAATTAATGTATAATATTTTGTTTCTTTATATGGTTGTTCAAGATTTATATCTTGATAATTGCAATAGACTGCCAGCTGTCTCTCCTCTGATGATGTGCTACATACTTATAGTATTCAAAGTAAACAGATGTAATATTTAATGTTTGCTTATTGGTTTCAGAGCTAAAAAAATATAGACTAGCCATATATCCATGTAAAATTTGATGTTAGCTTTGAGCTTATTTGATAAATATAGAGATGCTTCAACCCAGCTCTGTGTGATGACAAAACCTTTTATGTACAGAAGCAATCTCATCAACTATACATATGATGAACTATAGATTTGCATTCAGGGTAAGTATGGGAGGGCCAGAGAAAGGTAATTCAGAAAAGGATGAGTATTCCTATGCTGGAGAAGAGGAAGAAATTTTTTTTTTGCTTTGTTTTTGGCCTGCACAACAATCCATTGGAATTTGTGCATTGAATTTAGGTGGTATGGGAAAAGGGCAAAATTGCCATTTTTTAAAATGTAATTTTCAGTGTTGTCCAATTTGATAATGCTAGAATGTTAAAACATTTCATTATTGGCAAAGTAATGACTTTTTCTTAGGATAGCATTTGTGATTTGTTTTTTAATATTCCAGTGAAGATTCACTGGAATTCTTCTTTCATACACATTTCAAACAGCTTCTTGATTAGAAAAATCACTCTAAATAGACCAAAAATAAACTTACCTATAAACAAATTGATGAGTTCTTTTGTATCCTTTTTCTTTTGAATTATTATCAGAAGATAATAGTTTCTTTTTATACCCCATGCAGAGGTTACTGTTTCACTTTACAAAGCTACATTGTGTGGATTTTAGTTAAACATTTTCAGTACAGATTTACTATTTTGTTGTGGATATTGCCTTCGTTTGTCATAATTATCTTGAAAAGCATATGACTGGTTTTGTACGTAGAGCATCTAACTTGAATAAAGTCAGCTATAAACAAAAGGGATGTTCCCCCAAAATGGACAGCTCTTAGCACTGAAGAGACTGCTGAATTGTGTGATGGTAAGTGGAAAAATACTGTAGTCAGCTCAAAGGCTGAGATTTGAGAAAGATACTGAAGAAGTGAAAAGACGTTTTTCTTTTCCTTATTTGAAGTCTTCTTGCACAGACTTTAAAACAATTTGTAGTCTTTGAGTGAATGGCCCGGGGGCCTGTATAATTCAGGTCAAAATATCATTTATGCACTGACAGGGATAGTTGAGTGTGAACACTTTGTCAGGAGAAAGGCTGAAGATATCTAATAGTATGTTAAATGTTTTGGGCCGGTTGAATCATTCGTGTGCATGAGTGTTTGCATTTACAGTTTGCAGTAAATTGGAGCCTGTGACTTCAATGTCTTGGGCACTGTAGTGAGTAAATGAATTGTATATGTTTATTATTATTTATCTAGATAACTGTGTGTGATGACACATTCTGGAAAGAGGGGTTCAAATCAGTGTGAACAATCTGAAGATTTTTAAATGCAGCGTTCATTTGAAATGCTGTATAAGCATAAATCCATCATATCTGGATAAACTTGTTTTTTTCCAATTTAAATAACTTTTAAATAAGTAAGGTAGCTTAAATTCTCGCACCTCCAGGGGGGACCCCCAAAACAGTAACTGGAAGTTACTAGATTTAGTGCATACACATTTTGTCTTCATTGGTACGAGATTCATGACAGCAGAGTGAACATAAAGCAAATTTAGAGTCATCTTTCAGATGGAGGGCCATGTAACTCAAAAGTAAGAAGGCGTAGGTTGGTGCACCGGTGAATACGTCACACAGCTAGTTAAGTTTATAGCTATAGTAAGAGATATCTTTTGATAGCAGGAGGTGTACAAATCAAGAGGTAACCTATGTTCCTTTAATGTAATTCTGATCTTTGCAGCTATATTGATTTTCCATAGATGCAAACACTCTTTCATTTCCATCAGCCATCTCCCGTCCACTTTCCCTCAGGATGCTGCACTGTTTTGCTGCTAATCAAAAGCCGCAGATGGCTTCTAGCTGTGCTGCAGAAAGTACTCTCTCTCTCTAAAAAGGAAGGAACGATTCAGCCTGCTTTAGTTCAGCCTAAGCCTCTGCATTTGTCCTCTCTCTTTCCGTTTTTTTGTTTTAACCTCCAAGATGAAATAAAGTAGTCAAAATGTCAAAATAAAGAAGTCATACTTCTGAGGCTATATGGCTGAAAAATTTAGATACATGCACTTGTTATATGTGTGGAATGCTAATTTTTATCGTTTCCCTTCTTTTGTAGGAGGTTCTTTTTTTTATTCTTTATTTTTCAAGTAATGCCTAAAGAAACAATTACCTTTAGAGACAAAAATTTTAACAGAAACAGGGAAGGCTATTACTGTGTTTCTAATCTAATCTCAGCTACAATGCAAGTGAAAAGTATGCTCTGCAGATTACTTTGTTATTATGTAGTTTAATTTAACTAAGTGATAAATATTTCAAGAAGTGCTTCTTATTTTATGCTAGAGGTCTCAGGCATTTTCAGCCAAAAGTACTGTATCAAATTTTATATATTTTATTATGTGCATGAATCTGGCTGATGTGAAATTTATTTGCAAGAGACAGTGAGGAGGTTTCTACTTTGGAAGATGATTTATTAGGTATAAAAATAAATACTAAATTTTATTTTGTAAGTAAATTTTCAAAAAAAAAAACAGAAACAAGGAATAGCTGGAAATTAATCAGATTTATGTTTTGTACCCAATTTAAAGATTTTCTTATTTATCACTAGAAGCCAAATAACTGAGATCATCAATAGAGTCCTGTAGTAAGGAAAGTTTATTCAAGTGATCTTGGTAGATAAGCAGCTTAAGTCTTAGGAATTAATATTTAGTGTGCTAAGTTAGATGCCAGTTGCACTGGAAGTTATTGAAAATATTTTATTTAGCTTAACCTTGCTGTTGTAAACTGTGTTTCAGCTGTCTTTATTTTCCTGTCTAAATATGCTTAAAGAAACAATAGGTATCTTTATATCGTCGTAAATATTAATAGCTAAGATCTCGCATGCAAGTATCCCAGTGTAAGTACGGCACTTCCCGCGTGAACTCTGGGAATCAGTGGTGTTTTAAAACAGACGTGAATTACATTTCAGGATCTCTTTACAGCCTGGACCAAGAAATTCAGCAGCTGAAGCAAAAAATATATGAGGGCGATGGTGCACAGAAAGGAAATCATGGCATATTAGAGGAGAGACTTTCCCATGCCAATTCCCCTACGAGCCCAACAAAACCACAGCCATCCTCTGTTCCACTAGTTGATGATAGGTAGGTAGCCTGGATGTTTGCAATATTTTGTCACAACTTCAAACAATAGCTTTGGAAAAGAAATAATTTGGAAGATCATTCTGTCAGATTAGACTGTAATTAAATGGCATATTTGTACTTAAGAGTAGTCTAGACATAAAATTAATTTGCTGTGCTTTACTTCAAATAACCAACAAGCTAATCTGTGGTTCCTGTGCAGTTTGGTTTAGAATAAAGGTTTGCACAGCTGTAGACTTAAGTGCATTTACATTGTTTTTATATTTAGAGTTACTTCATACGGTATTGCTTTATGCTTGCTGAAAGCAAAAAAAGTAAATGAAATTGTGTTATGCATTTTTAACAGAGCAGCAGCCTGGCATCACTTAAAGAAATATTTTTTTTTTTCTGTCAGTTCATTTTACACTTATGCATACGGTAATTAGTATCAACTCTTGGAACGTTCTTTTTGCTTGAAGATAAAGATTTTGTTAGTCTAAGTTGTCCATATTACAAAACTGATAAAAGCAAACTATTAAGTAACAAACAAACTAAATCCCAGCTTTCTGTTTCCTCCTCATCTCTCTAACCCTCAATGCCCCTTCTGTGTGGATATGTACACATAGCAGTGGCTTAACCTGTGGCCCATTAAGTTATCTAATTGTGTTAATAAATTGTTAACCTTGGTCTGTTAAATGAACATTTGCTGAAAAGTCCCTTTTCTTTGCAGAGGGATAAAATTGGTGTAACATTAAGCTTGCCAGTTAAGAATTGGGCAATATTTAGGGTTCATAACTGTTTCAAAGAGCCCTTTAACATACCTTGTTTTTTGTTTTTTTAATTTAAGAATATATATATTTATATATATATATA